GTATAGATGTATGTAATAGGCAGTATGTGCGTGTGGATGTATGTTGTAGGAAGTATGTGTATAGATGTATGTATTAGGCAGTATGTGCGTGTGGATGTATGTTGTAGGAAGTATGTGTATAGATGTATGTATTAGGCAGAATGTGTGTATGGATGTATGTATTAGGCAGTATGTGTGTATGGATGTATGTATTAGTCAGTGTGTGCGTATAGATGTATGTATTAGGCAGTATGTGTGTATGGATGTATGTATTAGGCAGTATGTGCGTATAGTTGTGTGTATTAGGCAGTATGTGCGTGTAGTTGTATGTATTAGGCAGTATGTGCGTATAAATGTATGTATTAGGTAGTATGTGCGTATAGATGTATGTATTAGGCAGTATGTGCATATAGATGTATGTATTAGGCAGTATGTGCGTGTAGTTGTATGTATTAGGCAGTATGTGCGTATAAATGTATGTATTAGGCAGTATGTGCGTATAGATGTATGTATTAGGCAGTATGTGCATGTTGATGTATGTATTAGGCATTATGTGCGTATAGATGTATGTAGGGCTTGAAGGGACACTGTAGGCACCCATACCACTTGAAGTTGTCTGGGTGCTGTGACCTTTTTGCAGAGAACTACAATGTTTACATTGCAGCTCTAAGTTTGTCCTCTGTGGCTGTCTAGCCACTGGGAGCACTTCCAGGTTCCTAACTGACTTTTGGTTCGTTATCTGACATTGGACGTCTCCAGCGTCAAATTTTCCCAATAGGAAAGCATTAAATAATGCTTTCCTATGGGGAGGTCTAATGAGCGCGGCCATTTCCTCACATGCACATTAGGACATCAGCAAGCGGGCGGAGGAGCGTGGGAAGAGCCTGACCCAGCGCTGAGGGACAACTGCACTGGATTCAGGTAAGAGGCAGAAGGGTTTTTAAACCCTTCAGCAACATGAGATGGGGGAACTCCAGGATTCTCCAGTGCCAGGGAAACGGGTTTGTTTTCCTGGCACTGGAGAATCCCTTTAATTTAGTGGGCATAAGACTTGGAGATTAATTTCAGTCTGAACTGCAATTCATCCAAATTTAGAATGACAAGGTGATCAGTTGAATTCTTGAACTGACAGTCTAAATATACCGGAATCACGCACCAGCTGAAATGCAAAAGGGGCAAGCATGTTTGTTTTTGGCAAAAAAAAGAAAAGATGATTAATGGAAAAAGATGATAATTGAATGCTAGAGGACAGTAACTAAATGCTGATTTTATACACAGATCAAGTGAGAAGTGAGCAGTTGAGGGAAAAAAAGGAAGATCTGTAAAAATATATATATTTATGTTATATATTTAATAAATATATCTATATATCTAAATATAGGTTTATTATTTTACTGCTCCTCCTGTTTTCCATCTATTGGTAACTTTAATTTATTCTGTGAAGCAAATAGCTGGATAATGCTCCTATCATTGTACTGTATTTTATTAAAAATTTTGTTCAGTGTATATACAGTTGTGCTCCAAAGTTTGCATACCATGGCAGAAAGTGTGACATTTTGGCATTGATTTCGAAAATATGATTGATCATGCAAAAATATGTATTTTATTGAAGGATAGCGATCATATGAAGCCATTTATTATTGCATAGTTGTTTGGCTCTTTTTTAAAGCATAATGATAAATGGAATCACCAAAATGCAAAATAGCCCTGATCAAAAGTTTACATACCCTTGAATGTTTGGCTTGTTACAGACACACAAGGTTAAATGGCAATTAGAAGTTAATTTCCTATACCTGTAATTAGTGTCTGTGTATAAATAGTCAATGAGTTTGTTAGCTCTCACATGGATGCACTGAGCAGGATGGATACTGAGCCATGGGGAGCAGAAAAGAAATGTCAAAAGACCTGCGTATCAAGGTAATGGAATTTTATAAAATGGAAAAGGATATGAAAAGATATCCAAAGCCTTGAAAATGCCTTGAAAAAGTCAGTACTGTGCAATCACTTATTAAGAAGTGGAAATTCCGGGAATCTCTTGATACCAAGCCATGATCAGGTAGACCAGGAAAGATACCAGCTACAACTGCTAGAAGAATTGTTCTGGATACAAAGAGAAGTCCACAGGTAACCTCAGGAGAAATATAGGCTGCTCTGGAAAAAGTGTGGTTGTTCCCTATTAAAGATTGATAAGCACCTACCCCACTTGACAAATTCCATTACCACCAAGTTAGGTCCTACTACGCCAAACTTCCTGGGAGAACTCACCTCCAACGTACACTTACGGAATTTGAACGATTGTGCACAGACAGATGACATATAATCCATGGGGTATCCTATTTATATGCTTTGCTCCAGCAGACAGGTGATAGCGGCCCATTAGGCTACACGAGCAGATGGGAAGGGGAGACGGGTACACAGCTGACAGATCAAGAATGGGACAAAATATTCCTCCTTACCCATAAATGTTCAATAAGCTCGAAGTTCCAGGAAACCGGCTACAAATTGTTAACAAGATGGTACAGAATACCAGATTCACTTAGACATATACACGGGACGGACACGGGCGACTGTTGGAGATGTGGCTTAGAGAGAGGCACTAGCCTACATATCTGGTGGTCATGCCCCTGGATCGTACCATACTGGCAGATGATCAGGACAAAGATCAATGAGATCACGGGAGATGATATCCCCCTACAGCCACTACCGATGCTCCTACACCATACTCCCATCCCCACGCAGGCATATAAAAAGTCGCTGACAATTCACTTATTAAATGCAGCAAAAGCTCTCATTCCCCTGCACTGGAAGGGTCCATCAGTCCCCACTCTTAAACAATGGATAGACAAGGTAGAGACCATCTACGACATGGAGATTCTGACGGCCTCCCTGCGAGAGCGCTCGGATAAGTGCGCCTTGACTTGGTATCCGTGGAGGCGGTATGTCTCTGGAGGTGTGGCATGAATCATTAGAGCACTGAACCTAGCCGGGGCGGCGGGACCTCTGTAGTCGAGACTCGACATGCGGAGCCCAGGCCACTCCCTGTATCTTTCCCCCCCCCCCGCAAACTTTTATATTATAATTTTTTTTTTTCCTCTGTCTGTCTCTCTTTCTTTACTTGTACTCAGCACGGAGACCCTGAATTAGACCGGCATCGACCGGACCACACTTAGACTGACGCATTACCCAGAAGCACACGTGCGACACGTTTGACACGGACAGGCCATACTAGCACAGCCGATGAGGTCGTCACCCTCCTAGGCACACATGCTAAGGAGGGGCTAACAGATACAAGGCTGACCTCAACCTACCAGAGGTCGGCCGGCTCTAATCTCCCAAACTGAGCGAGGCGAGCCGGAACGCAACACACTGAGATGGCCCAGAGGCTTAGCATAACCCCCATTACGGGCAGCCCATAAGCGTTGACAATTAAGCACACGGTGCGCACCCCAAGGTGCACACGTGGACGCAGGGTTAGACGATGTACAACAACCACAGACCATGTCGGCTGGAAGATGGCCGACTTTCCATACGACCACTGCCGAAGGCATGAGATAGTTCATAGGCAAGCTCCAGATTTCAATGGCAGAAAATATCCGACATTGTTTTGATGTTCATATATGTCTTGTACCTTTTACTGTTTTACTTGCCGTATGCTTACGGAATTCATGAAAATTTATTTTCAATAAATATGATTGACACAAAAGATTGATAAGCATGTAGGGATGTATATACAAAAATACCCCTTTCTGTCTCATTAGAGATCTTTACCAGAAGCTCAAGGAAGCAAGGTTAGAGTTAAGACCCACATAAGAGGTCTGCCTTGTTGTGGCAGGTGGGCATACCCTCTCATGGCCATTAGAGATAACTAAAAACCTCAATTTATTTAAAAATACATAGGGATTTGGGAAAGAGCGCAGGTAACTTTTTTCTTTGGATTTTACTGTATGTTTTGTTTTATGATGTGCCATTCTGTTATAGCCTACAGTTGAATATGAATCTCATAAGAAATAAAAGAAATGTGTTTTGCCTGCTTACTCACGTTTTCTTTCAAATGGTACATATATTACCAATTTTCCAAGGCTATGCTAACATTTGAGCATAATTGTGTATAGCATAAAAAAATGTAATTGTATGGTATATTTATTCCTCATTCTCTGGTCCTCTACCACAGGCCTGGGAGTCTGAGGGTTCTGTGCA